CCTTTGTGCCCCAAATCAAGATGCTGTTGAGTCAGGGCCGGTGTTCCCAGGTACCCACCCTGTGCTGTTGATTCCCAGTCAGAGGGAACGGTGGGGTCCTCTGAGCTGTCGTTGGACGCCTGGACTTTCTGTGTTCCCTCTGGGATTCTGAGAATCGGGAAAACCTAGCGTTCAGTAACCCAGATTCTGGAGCTCCACCTGGTGTTATTGCTTGCTTGTGGTGTCGCCTTGGCCAGAGATGTCCTTGCCGTGATGTAGGGCACCTACGTTGCAGAAGGTTCATGGGGAAGGAATGAGAATAAAAACATAACTACCCTGTGATCCAGCAACCGGACTTCTGGGTGCATATCCATAGGAAATGAAGTCAGAATCTTGAAGAGACATGTATGCCCCATGTTCACTGTAGTGCTTTTCCAAGGCATGGAAACTCTAGCCAAGACATGGAAAGGTTGGGACTTCTCAGTCCCACTCACATGTGGACTTGCAGCCAGGTGAGCCCTGGCTACCCAGGTAGACCTTGGACTTGCCTTTTCCCTTGAAGAAGATACATCTGTTAACTCCTGGGGAGATAAAGGAACGTGGCCACTGTCATAGTTCTTCTAATCCCATGGTTTGGATTTGTCTGAGTTACTAAATCCAGCCCACCTGTGGTCTTCTTCCAGCAGTGTACAGGCAAGCCAGCTCCAGCTCTCTCCTGCACCAGAGATGAAGTGGTACTGAGGAATTGTGCACATTCACCGGCTTTGGTGTTGCACAGAGCTGCATTTGTATCTGCGCTCTAGCTCACTAGATCAGTGACACTACATCACACTAGGTCACACTAGATCAGTGACCTTCCGTGTGCAACTTAGCTCAACCCCTTCAGGTGTAGCTATAAAGAGCCCACATCTGTCAATTGAACAGCGATGGTACCACCACTGTGGGTAGGTGTAAAGGTTCAATGAGATGAAATGCATATTATAGGCCATCAGATTTGGCTTCTGTAGATGGGGAGTCATAGTAGTACCCTCGTGAGATGTAAGGACTTAGTGATGAAATGCATATCATCGTCCACATCACATAGTGCATGATCAATTAAATTTAGCCATTAGAAACAGTACCTATAGGGCGCTTGGGTGGCTCAGCTGGCTAAGCGTCAGCCTTTGGCTTAGGTCATGATCTCTGAGTCCTGGAATTGAGTCCCGTATCAGGCTCTCTACTCACTGGCGAGTCTGCTTCTCCCTCTCCCTCCACTCATCCTCACCACTTACACATTTTCTCTCTCTCAAATAAATATTTTTTAAAAACTTTAAAAACAGTACATATAAAACCATGTACAGTAATTCATATTGTCTTCTCTGATGTGATCTAGACCATGCCAAGTACTTAGTCAACTTGGGGAACACACATATACTTATCTACATGTGTGTATTTAGTAGAATTTTTACTTTGGAATCAGCATAGACAGTATTACAAAGGTATTAAAGATAGTTATTGCTTTCCCTGCACCCGGCCTCCGCTGATGTTAACTTTCTGCATAACCAGTTATTTGTCAAGAAATTAACCCTGGTGCACCACTGGTAACTGAACTATATACATTTTCCTCTAACGCACTTCTTCATTTCAAGATCCAATCTGCAGTGCCACATTGCATGTAGAAGATACATTTTTAAAGGATTCTTTTTGTGGTACTTTGATCTACCTTCTGATTTATTTATTTTATTTTATGTTAACCAGTGGCACAATAAATACATACACCACCCATTAATTAGATAAGATGTTTTGTTACATAGCAAGCTTATAAAAATATATATTTATTCATTTCTGAGAGAGACGGAGACAGAGGTAGTGACAGAGAGCCAAAGTGGGGAGGAGAGGGAGGAGCAGACTCCCCACAGCAGGGAGCCCAACGTGGAGACCCTGGGATCATGACCTGAGCCAAAGGCAGACGCTTAGCCAACTGGGTCACCCAGATGCCCCTACTTTGTTGTTCTTAAGTTTAGAGTGAAATTATAGGAGACTGATCTAGTAGAAGGGTAAACATACAAATACCCTGAATTTTTATCTAGAAGGATAACCATGAAGATTCTATAAGCTTGATCTAGTAGGATAGTCATGTGCATATTCTATGAGCTTGATTCCATAGAAGGATAAATGTGAAAATTATATGAGGTTCATCTAGAAGGATAGTCCTGTGCATATTCTATGAGCTTCATCTCATAGAAGGATAAACAAATGAAAATCTGAGTTCGATCTCATAGAAGGATAAACAAATGAAAATCCTATGAGGTTCATCTAGAAGGATAGCAGGTGCACAGTCTATGAGTTTGAACTCGAAGAAGAATAAGATTGAAGTCTAGGAGTTTGATCAAGTAGAAGAACAGATTTTTTTAAACATCCCACAAGCTTGATCTAATGGAATAACAGGTGAGAATTCTATGAGGTTCATGTAAAAGGAGAGCATGTGCATATCCTGTGAGCTAAATCTTACAGAAGGATAAACAGATGAAAAATCTGTGAGTTTAATGCAGTAGGATAAGCAGTTGAAAATACTCTGAGGTTCATCTAATGGAAGGATAAGCAAGTGAAAATTGTATGAGGTTCATCTAGTAGAAGGATTCGCATGTGCATCATCTGTGAGATTGATCTCGAAGAATAAACAGATGGAAGTCTTTGAGCTTGATCTCGTAGACGGATAAGCAAGTTTAAATTCTGTGAGCTTGATCTAGTACAAGGACACAGAGAGGAGAAGTGTATGAGCTTGATCTAGCAGATGGATAAGCAAGTTTAAATTCTATGAGTTTGGATAAGCGGGTGAAAATCCCATTATCTTGTTCTGGTGGAAAGGTAAACAGGTGCATATTCTAAGTTTCATCGAGTAGAAGGCTAAGCAGGTGAAATGCCGTGAGCCTGATTCGAATAAGCAGGTGAAAGTTCTGTGATTGATCTCACAGGAGGGTAATCAGACTAATTCACATGTTGAGATTCCCCCTGTAGCTCACTCAGCTATCGACAGCTGGAATAAATTATGGCAGATGATTTGAACTTCCCTATTCTTTGATGTGGTATCTGTGATGCAAGGGTAGCAGTATTCGTCACATAATTACCTTAAGATCATGTTGAAAAGATGTACCGTGATACTTCTAACTTCTCATGGAGGCCGTTATAGAAACCGCCAACTATGATGTGAATTTATTTGTGGATTTTCCCTGGTGTCTGTGCGCACAAAATATTCACTGCCTGAAGCTTAAAGATCTTGCTTATGAGAGGTGTTCAGTCTATAGTCATCAGCTCCCATTGTGGTCAGAATTCAGCGTGCCGTCATCAAAAACCAGCAGGACCAAGTGAAGCTTTGCCGCAAGATCCCTTAAACCTCTGTCTCCCTCAATCCATTTTTAAAGTTTAAACAAGCATTTACATCCTTTGTTAAGCAGGCATCGTTTGCATGCATTCTGTACCTGCCATTTGCATCAGGGTTCTCTTTCAGTTCTTCAACTCTTTAATTTTTCTTCTAAAGTTTGAAAAGGTATTTTTTTTTATTTTATTTATTTATTCATGAGAGACACAGAGAGAGGCAGAGACACAGGCAGAGGGAGAAGCAGGCTCCATGCACATGGAGGGAGCCTGATGTGGGACTCGATCCCAGGACCCCAGGATCACACCCTGGGCCAAAGGCAGGCGCTAAACTGCTGAGCCACCCAGGATCCCTGGAAAGGTATTTTCAAGCAGCTGAACATCCATCCTCCCTTCTTTCCTGCCTGTGACATCCAGTGGTTATTGTTCCTGTGGTACTGAGCTGTGCCCAGCTCATTTTAACGCTGTGGGGAGCTACTTTAGGGGAAACCACGCATCTCGTTTTACATCTGTCCGCGTGCAACCTGCATGGCTTGGGGAATCCGGCCCTGGCTACTCTGAGCCCCGTGCTGGCATTGCCGCTGCCTATGTCCCTCCAGACACACTAGTTGCAGGCCTTGGAGAGCATCTTCTCTGCAGAGCCACTCGCAGTGGAGCTTACCTTACACACCATCCGCTCCCCACACCCCTGTCGTGCTCCACCTGGTTATGGTCACGTCAGCTCATGTGGACAAAGCTCATTTCTTCAACTAAACAGTAAGAGCTGTCCTGCTAGTAAGGTCTCGCATTGATGAAAATGGCCATTTTTGGTTCTCTTCTGTCCCAGGCCCTTGAAATAATTCCACATTAATACTTAACTGGATGTGTTGGGGGTGCGAGGCTCAGATGGCTGAGCCGCAGAGCTGGTGTTTTCCATTTCTAACAAATTACCACAAATCCGGTTGCTCAGAACAATACAGATTGAACATCTCACACTTCCGGAGGGCAGGTATCCAAAATGGGCTCGAAAGTCAAGGCAGGCGCAGCTGTATTCCTTTGCGAAGGCTCCTGGGGAGAATGTGTTTCTGTGCCTTTTCCAACATTCAGAGGCAGCCATGGGGCAACTTCCTCCATGCTGTGGGGCAACTTCCTCCATCGTCAGGGCCAGCAGCGTAGCATCAGCCAGCCTCCCTCTGCCTGGATTCTGAGCCTCCTGCTTCCCTCCTTCCCTTACGAGGATGCTTGTGATCACATTGAAGCCACTCAGATAATCCCTGTCTGCCACATTAGGTACCATAGCCCCAGATTTTGAGGAGTCAGACATGGACGTTTTGGGGTGCCATTGCTTTGCCTACTACAGCTGGAGAGAAATAGAAATGGAAGTTCAGCTTTGTGACTCCATACTCACTGATCTGAGAAATGAGCATCCCTGGTCATAGCCATGGACCATGACCACCAGGCAGTGCTGGCGTGTGTCCTGCATAGTAGTGACTATGTCATAATTTTTTTTCACGACAATGTATGCAATATTGCTTACAAAATTTTCATTGAATCCGTGTCATTAGAACACTTGGTTCTTCCAAATCCCCCGCCCCATGTTGACTATTAATGAGTGTGTTGAAATGAGCCTTGAACCAAGCTTTGAAAAGACATACATCTCCCTGTTGCCTCTTTTCTGGGCCTTTTAGGGGGGAAAGCAAACAACTGGGAAGGAGGTATCCGGATCCCGGGTATTCTTCGGTGGCCGGGAGTGATCCAGGCTGGACTAGTGATAGACGAGCCGACAAGCAACATGGACATCTTTCCTACGGTGGCCAAACTCGCGGGATCGCCATTGCCGGAGGACAGGTACGGCGACTCAGGGGCGCTCGGTATTGTATCGTTGGGATCTCACAGGCGAGTGTGCTCCGCTTTGCCTGCATGATGGCAAGCTGTCACCAGCTGGACTCGTCATTCAGGTCCAGTTATGGGACTTACTGGTGGGGCCGCGGACATAGAAACACCACCAATCCCATTATCCCAGTGGGAACTCAGCTCCATGGGGTGGTGTGCATGTGTGGTCTTTGGCTTCCATGAGCCTTCTGCTCTCAATGTCCCACAGATCCTGCCTCTCCCGGCTGTGCCCTCCACGGGCTTGTCACCAGGCAGCTGGGCAGCCTCCTCTTTGACCCACCGTGTTTTGCTGCCTTCCCTTTCCCTGCAGCCCCATTCAGCTGCTCTTCACTGCAGCAGCGAGAAAGGCAGCTGGCTCCCCAGTTAACGGCCCTCCCTCCCAGCATGTCTTCATTTAGCAAGTTCTAAATGAAACGTCTTTCTCTTAAATTTAAATACAACTTCATATGACATCGCCAATGGTTTCTTCTTAAGTGTTATTACCAATCTGAAGAGTTTTAAGTGAAGCACGCTGACTAATTGTTTTCATTAGTTTGGTGGCAGGCCAGGCTAATGTCATGCAGGCGGGCTGCAAATCTTGTTTAAATTCAGCTGCCAGCGGAATGAAGAGGAAACGGCAAAGCAGACAGACAAGCACCGCTCAACCCGAGCGGAGTCCCGGATAGGTTTGCTCATCTCCCGTTGCTTTTAGGCTTGTTTCTTTGTTTATTGTTTCCTTCTTGTTTTCAAGTTTGTTCTTTAGGTGTATCTCCCCCCGCACACATACACACACACCAGAGCATTGGACAGCTCAGCCCTTCACAAACTTTGTGGTCTCAACACCCACGTACACTCCTCAGTGACTGAGGACCCAAAGACCTTTTGTATATGTGGATTATGTCTGTCAACGTTTATCGCAGAAACCATAAAGCCTGAAACAACTTGGAACACACGAGAGCACCCCAGCACACATTCCATTGGCGGACAGTGATGGTGTCATCATCCACCACGAATCTACGGGCAGAGTGCACTGTGGCCTAAAGGCGTGGAGCATTGGTATTATCGTGAGAACATTCGTGGCCTCCTGGACCCCCTGAATGGGGTCCCCATGGCTCTTTGAGCCACACTCTGAGAGCATCCGGTGCTGTGCCTAGGAGCAGGGATCCTGCTTGGGATCCAGTCTTGGCTTCTGTGCCGGGTAAGTGTTTAACTTTGTGGGCCTTCATGCCTCGCCAGGAGCACGGGTTCAGTAACAGCCGTTGGAGGCTCGATGGGAGGAGAGAAAGCACGAGAGCATGCCGAGTACGTGAGTGAATACTGGCTGGTTTTGGTGATCCTGCCACACTGTACAGGGAAGAAGTACCTCAGGGCTGCTCCTTCTTCTATATTTATTGTTCATCCGGGATCATAGAACCATCAGGTGACAGGGCTGAAGGGGACTTGTGAGATGTACTCTGCTCAAACAATTCCTTGGCTGCCTTGATGAGAGAAGACGTGGTAACAGAAAGTCATGGGAAGAGTTGCCTTATGTGAAGCTGGAAATCTCACTCCATGTCTCATCTACTCGGTCTTTGTTCTTACACTTGGAGTAAAACTTAGTCTTTCCTTCAGTAGCTCACACACAGTGTTTACGTAATTTGATTAATTACATTTTTCTCTCATGGCTCATCATACGAAAATCAGCAGTGCGTTGGCTTTCACGGCATCTTTCAATGGGCTTCCGTGCAATCGGGGAAAAATACAGGAAGGGAAAGATGAGAGCAAAGAGAAAGATCCTTTAAGGGAAATGTTGCGGCTCACATCTCCTGACCACCGCAATCTGAGGCTCGGCCAGCCTGTGTTCTTTGTGCCCACGGAAGAAGGAAGCAGCCTCTGTCTTTGGCAGGCCCAAAGTATTTAATGTGTGAGCCATGACACTGGGAAGACCCCCTTTGCAATATTGGGGATTCTTTTCATGGATCTCACTGATGCTTCTTGACCAAGGTCAATGCAAGGACGCTGCCTCTGGGTTGGGATGCAAGACCCCATGAGATGCCACCGTCATCCTAGAGACTGTGCCGATGAGAAAACAGAAATCTACTTCCAGATCCTTCACGGACATAACAGTTACACAACGTCTTACTTAGACCATGTTACCAATGAGATCCAGAGAACAACCTTATATATCTGCCCTGGAGACTTGGATCATCTAACGCAGTCGTTCTCACTGGGTTGACTCTTTCCCCTCGGGGCCATTTAACAATGTCTGGAGATGTTTTTCATTGTTTTGACTTTCATTGTCTTGACTCAGAAAGCACGAGAGCACGCCGAGTACATGAGTGAATACTGGCTGGTTTTGGTGATCCTGCCACACTGTACAGGGAAGAAGTACCTTTGGGATCTAGTGGCATCCAAAGGCCAGGGATGCAACTAAACATTCCTACAAGGCTCAAGATGGCTTCACAAAACAAAGAACCCAGAAATATGTTAGTGGTGCTGCTGTGACAAATTCTGCTCTGAGGTTCATCATGGATCTTTTACCAAAAATATTGTTACAATGGATTAATGTCATCGGAAATCCTCAGCGAAAGCACCTGGACCGTATCTCCATAGGTATATCCGTCCATAAACGATTCACAAATATCTGTTCTTCAGAAAATAGTCTTTACTCTCTCCCCCAGAGATTGGTGGAAATCAGCTTCCCCGATTTCTTGCTTGAGCAGTATTAGATTTACATTTCTCAGGAGAATAAACTCATTTCAAGGGTCGAACGCAAGCTGTCTGATGAGGACTTAATGAGGTGCCCTCACGTGTTTCTGTGTGTTTTGTTGGAACAGGAGGATTTCTGTTCAGAAGACCCGTAGCCCTCAAGTACAACCTTGTCGTTCCCAAGAAGCGTTTGGTGTCTGGTGGGTGGCCGTCCTGACCAATCAGAGCTTGGTGGGAGATGAGAAGCTCTTCCATGCAGGGTTTCTACTTAGGTCAAAAGAGCAGTGCTTCGGGGATACACAGAGGAGATTTTCGCTTTGCAGAGTCACAGCGCTACTGTGAGAATAATTCTCTAATTCCACCCCGTGGCGTGCCCGTATGAGATTCCTCTCCACGGCGAATTTTTCATTCACACGCACTTCAGTGATCCATTTGCATTCAACGGCACGGTTGATCAAAAGAACTTGTGGTGGCCATTACCCTAAGGCGTGTTCAGAAAAATCATTCCCCCTGTGTCTCCAAATGAGCTGATTCTGGAAATAAATGGAGGGCAACCTTCTTGTGTGTGTGATATAAAACATCAGGAACAAGCACATACATAAGAAGGATGTATGATGAAATTCCCGAAAATGAAAAACATTTCATCACATTTTTGCAAGCGGATAGAATATTGCCATAGGAAGTCTGCGACCATGCTCTTTGTTCACAGATGCTGGTGATAAAGAATTGCAGCATGCCCTAATTGGTTAAACCTTTGGAAACTGTCTAAATTCTGGCCATCGGCCGTTCCGCTGGGTGGGAAGGAGGGGGGCGCCGACATCCTTGAGAATCAGATTTTACAGGTGACATACCTAGGTCTCCTATCCCATAAACAGAATAAAATAAAAAATTCATGTTTTTTCCAACTTACGAAGACACTTGAATGCTTGATACCGTTTTTGTCCAATGAAGACATTTAATAAATTAATTTTGCTGCCCGATAGCTAGGCAACCGCAGGAGAATATTTCTATAGAGTCCAACAAATAAAACTAGTTCCTTTGTGTTTTGCCGAATAAAAGGTGAAACTCTTCATGGGGAGACATTAGATGTTTATGTGGCTTTCTTCCCAAAGGGTCACAGGCTAGATTTAGATCTTCAAACCTCAAACGTCTCGATGTCATCATATGGCCCAAACTGGGTGTTCTTTAAATTGTGCACTCTACCCAAAATGGGATAGAATTTAGGATTTCCTTTACGTTATGAAGGATGCATGTACTTTCTCCTAAAAATGTCTTCTTCACTGTCCTCTTTCTACATTGAAGAAATCCCTTGATTTTGAATACCGCACAGCCTAACTCTACAAACATGGGTCCAAGATTCTGCGTCAGTGTGCCAAAAATGGTGTCTTCTCTCACCCGCAAAGCTTTTGCTTGTTGTATGATCCCCAAATCCTTTTGCAAGCTGACCAGGCCGAGGAAGGAACATCCAGGCAGATGGTTCACTGGCTCAGAGCTCAGAGAGAGGCCAGGATGTCGAGGGCGGAACGAGCTTCACTTTAGCCCAAGGAACATTCCCAAAAACCTGCTCTTTGCCTCGATGTGGGAGTCATCCCCATGGGATTTGATCTGACAGGACATTCCGAAATCACCATGCTTGGAAACGAATGCTTGAAATCGTCACCCTTGTTGTGGGGCAGGAACCCATGGAGAATATTCCTACCTCACCCTCCAAATTAAACACGACCCCCGATGAACACAGTTCTCACAGGATCAAGCGGACGCTGTGAAACAACCCATCCGGTTTCATAGCAGCAGCTGTGTGCGCACACTTGCTATGAAGACTTGAGTTTGCCGACACCGAAGGCCGATTAAGGAGACTCGGGATACCAAACACCAGTGCTTCGTGTCATTTTCTGAGGGCCTCGGCCCCGGTCCCACAGGTTGTGACGTTACGGCAACATTTCCCTATGGGCCATGTCAGGGGACACATGTTGTCTCGGGGTTATGGCCGTCGCTAAGTGTGACTCGCACACGCGGTTTAGAACAATCCCGGGTATTTTGATAGCTTAGACACCGTTTAAAAGTTGAGTGCAGTAGGGTCACTGTCAATTTTTCATGGCAGAAATGAGCCTCGTTTTGACAGGCCATATTTCTGTCGCTCTCTTAAACGGTGAGCTTTCCATAGCAGCGTGATTTATTGCCCGCTTCTAGGAATGAGCACATTAGGTGTAGGATATTAAAGAAAAGAAAAGAAAAAAAGCCTCTATGTCTACATCCAAAGCACAAGCAAGTAGAGGTAGGTAGAGGTGTCCTGGGAATGGAGTCGCGTTCTCCGTCCTGAGTGCCACCTGGAAAGGTCTGCTGTGCTCTTGAGTTGGGGGTCCTGGGAGCACAGGTGTGTCCTTCTGTCCCCACCTCTAGGCCATTTTTCACCACGGCGGGGGCTTCTCCTGTTCCGGCTCTTACACCTACCCACTCTAGCACATCCTTCCGTTCTTTCCACCCATGCATGCAGCTTTGCATATTCGTAAGGACTGAGCCCTTCTCGAAAGGGATTTGAAAGGACTTTGGCACAATGACTGCCATTTCAGCATAGAAATCGTGTTTCAGAGAGTGCTCGCCACTTCTCAATAGAACCGTCTGTCTACGGCGCTTCCTTCTCCTCCTCTCATGGCCAACGGGAACATGGGCTTGGGAAGGGGGCCAAGTCTGCCTTTTGTTCTTATTTTTAACTCACAATAATAGAATATTTTCATTCCAAAGGCTTCCGCGGAGCTCGTGATTAATAACAAGGGTTGAGGCTGGAGCAGTGCTAAGCAACAGGGCTATAATTACATGACGGGGGTTTTTAGTGACACCAAAATAAACCACACACAAAGCTCAGGGGATGGGGACCTCTCAAGAACACTAACCCAAATTATACAGCCAAGTCTGACTTCCAGCTTCTAAATTCCTCATCATAAGGGATCACAGGGATGGAAGGTTTTTAATCAGAGAAAGATAATCTTCAGGGGAAACCATCTAATTCTTTCAAAGTGGGTCTCTGTCCCTCTTTTCGATAACAGAGCCTAATGGTATCAATGACTTCCATTGGTCTAGTGGCTGTTAATGAATATTTAACTCAAAACAAAATGATCACTTCTCGGCCTTTTGGCTAAGATCAAGTGTGGATCAAAACAATATGTTTGGCTTTTTTTTTTTTTTTTTTCATTTCTTTAACTGCCAGATCATCTTTTCGCTCATGACCAATAGGATATTATCAGTTGTTTGCAGTCCGGAAAGTTCCCCTTGGTCTGCGTACACACCCAGGCCTAGGAGAGATATTTGCATCTGGCAACAATGCAACCAGAGGGTGTTTACTATCGTCATCATTACTATTCATTCACAAATTAATTCTCATTGAGAAATGTGGTTCCGCTGACGTCTTTCCAATCCAAGGTGCTCCCACGCTAAGTCTTACCCTTTTGTCACCCAAATTGTTAGATGTTCTTATTTTTCATAGAGCTATATTTTGTGAATAAAGCTTCCTGCATGCTGAGGTAATGGGCGGAAATTGAGTCTAGGATGAGCAGCAGGGAGAGCAGTTGAGAGCACAGATGCCCAGTAATCGGCTGGGTTTCCATCCCATGGGCTGGTCCTCATCCCATGACCTTGGGTAAGTCATTGACGCTTTATGGTTGATGTTCCTCCACCTCATCGCCATGGGATGATAATGGCCCCAACTCATGGTGCAGCTTATAGGGTTGAAGGAGTTCATACGAGAGCAGAACTGGCTCCGCGAAGTTGCATGTGGCACCTGAGGAGGTCAGTGAGTGTTCTCTCTATTGGTGGCCGAATGATAACGAGGTGGCTCCATCATGGTCTCATTTGCTGGAGGGACTACTCAAAGGTTGGGATGATTTAGTCCAAGGATGGTGTGGCCATTCACCACCTGATGCCTGCTTGATTTGTCCCACAGAATCATCGATGGCCATGACCTGATGCCGCTACTTCAGGGGAAGACCCAACACTCGGATCACGAGTTTCTCTTCCATTACTGCAACTTCTACTTAAATGCTGTGCGCTGGCATCCTCGGAACAGTGAGTAAAACAGAGCTCTCCACGCTTGTAGTACATTCGCAACCAATGCCTTGCAAGGAGATGAAGCGGCAAGTGGGCTTTGCTTTGTAAAGGCCGAGGGGTGCCTCCAAGGGTCACGGTGCTTTGTTTTGAGCTCCTCCTGGTCCTGTCTTTTCCTGTTCCTTCTGGTGCTGTTGCTGTCCAGGAACATCACCGGACCCTGGAAGTCCTTCCTGCCAGACAGAGGAAGCTCCAGGTTGCAGCCTCCTTCCTTCGTGCCCTGCAGGCTGGCTGCCCAGCTTCACGCCCCTGGCACAGCCTCCTTCTCAATAATGACTTGGAGCCACAGCAGCCTCCCCTGCTGTGTGCAGCATCCTCTGCCTGAAAGGATTTTCCCTCTTTTGCCTTTTGGGTCATGCTTAGCAGCTGATGAGCACCGCCAAGGTTCCCCTGAAACGTTCCCCTTGTGCCTGCTGTCTAGCGCTTTCTGCACTCCTGTAGCTTTGCGCTGTCCCGCAGAACGGCATCTAGGATGTGTGTGTGCTTTTCTCTCCGAAGCCCAGAGGTGGCGGGTTCGTGGGCTAGAGTCAGACCTTCGAGCTCAGTTCAGATGCTTCCCTGTCCTCGTTTGTCTGAAAACAGGTGTTCTTTCCGTGGTGCACTCTGCCTCAAAGGGGAAAGAATTTGGGTTTTCCGATGCCAGTTTTGGAGCTGTGTTTGTAACAGGTGTAAAGGGACAGATGCGACCAAGCCATAATCCTAGGTATTAGGGATAGGCTCCAGAGTTCTTTGTATTGGAACTTAGAAGGGCAGCGACGTTGAGGTGACTAAGATGCACGGGAGCGTGTGGAGCACCGTCTCCGTCAGCACTGTGTGTGCAGCAGGTGGATACGGAGCACGGATTTCCTGCTTCATCATCAGCAGTGAAGGAGACCTCCCTGTCTCTCTGTGTGTGTGTCTCTCTCTCTGTGTCATGCTTTGGATCTTGATCCTGGAGGCTACGCTCTGCTGGACCTCCTACCTGACGGCTCGTTGTTGAGCTCGGGGTGGCGATCGTACTGGGTTTCAACACCTCCCGCTCCCCACCGCATGCACCCCGCCAGTTTACCAAAGGCTTCTTTATTTATTTTTTTTCCCAAAGGCTTCTTTAAAGAGCAGCCTCTCCATTATGTTTCAAGTGCAAAATCACAACTCTTCCATTAGCCGCAGAAATCACAGCAGGTGTACCCTTCAGAGCTGCTCCTTCAAATCCGGGCGGCTTGCCCGCAGTGTTTTCTGGAAGATAAATAGGAGACAAGCACGGGTTTCGGATTCTGGACCTGGAAGCGTTCTGTTTGCTGTATCTCATCAGTGTGTCTTGTAATTCCAAATGTCCGTAGGGACATGGTTTGTTTTTTTTGTTTTTTTTTTTTTTTTTGTTTTGTTTTCCAGATTAATTGACACAGTGAGGTCTGAGTCATCCAGAGAATGGGAAGCGTCCCCCTTCGCGCTTGTTTTTATACGGGGCCTGCTGGAAACGTCCAGAATGAGGTGTCTGTGACTCGTGCCTCGTGAAGGAAATGTGATTATCACATCCTGAACCTCACAGAATCGCATTTCTGTAAAGCCACCCTCCACCCCTACCCCCACCCCACTGTACCCACCGCTGCCATCACCCCCACCACCACCCCATTCAGAGAAGATGGAAGGAACATATTGGATCAGGGGCTGGAGAGGCACACCCTGTGGAGGAAAAAACACAAAAAGGAACAGAGAGAGAGAAAATAGGAGTACGTGAGAAAAGCAAGACCCAGATTCCCATAGGCAGCTGGCCCTTGGGTAAAATTTGCTTCTCAGACGCGCACACAAGTGACATTCCGTCCTGTGCGACTGTCGAACGTCTGCAGCCTTGACCCAGCAGCAGGAAAGGAGACAGGGCAGTATTTTGGGGCCTGGCTCAGGGGTCTCCTCACCAGGGGTTTTATGGCTTATTATTGACTTGCCTCATTGTTGTCGCTGGAACTGGTTAGCAGTGCTCATTGGCCAGCGCCCATGGTTTTGTGGCTGCTTATCCAATACTTCATCTGTCCATTTATTCCACAAATGTGTTTGAGCACCTAGTAGGTGGCACCCTCCGTGCTAGGATGAGTGCCTGTCAGTGAGCAAAACACCGCAAACGCCGTACCCAGTAGTCGCTTATGACCTAGGGCACGATGCACGGGCCCAAGACTGGGAATGCGGAGGTGTGTGGGGAAGCGTGACTGTCATCCGTGTGGGGCTGCGTGTCAGCCAGTACTCGGGTGGGTGGGTGGGCTGCATCATCGCAGACCTACTTTGGGAGGAGATTGCCACTGATTGCTGTACTATGTGCAGGGACGTTGTCCATAATTTTTTTTAACGTAAATTCAGTTAGCCCACATAGTTTGCGATAGCGTTCCTCGACTTGTCAGTTGTACACAACACCCATTGCTCGTCACGTCACGTGCCCTCCTTAATGCTTTTTTTAAAAAATATTTAATTTATTTATTCATGAGAGACACAGAGAGAGAGAGAGAAAGGCAGAAATTCAGGCAGAGGGAGAAGCAGGCTCCATGCAGGGAGCCCGACGTGGGACTCGATCCCGGGTCTTGAGGGCTGAAGGCGGCACTAAACCGCTGAACCACCCGGGCTGCCCTCCTTAATGCTCTGCTCAAAGGTAAGGAGCCTGCAGCCCGAGCTCACAATACTTTATTAGAGAAAAAAAACAGAAATTTAGGGTCAGGATGTAGTTGCAGGGAGGCCGCCCCTGCTTGCTCAGGAATCTTCCCCATGTGCCGTTAAAATGTGGCTGATGTGACGGGACCCGGCGGGCGCTGCAGATCCAGGCTGTGTTGCTCCGTGGGAGCGAGCTGGCTCAGCAGCAGGTCACCGGCACCAGGGAATTAGCACTGACCGCGAATGTTCTCAGGGTCCAATTACCGCTTGTTCTGATTAGTGGGAGGCCCGCGTCCCGCAATCCCAGCCTTATTAAACACTTATTGTCCAAACACTGGGAGCTACGGTTCTGTTTCCGCCCTTCTGAAACACGAGATCCCTTTTAACTGTTAATCTGCAGTGTCTCCTCTATAATTTAATAATTCCGTGATTATAATAATTACCTACTTGCGTTGTCTCAGCAAGTTGAGTGACATAATCTAATCAGGAGCTGATATCACCACTCCCATTACATTGTGGGAGAAATCACAAAAGCGTTATGATAGCACGCATCAAGTGTGTCGCGTTTCGGTGGGAAACTTGAGCTTAAATGTACTGTGCAACGTGCGTTGGAAGCCTCGGCGTTACGTTGGGGCCGATGAGGCGGTGCTGTTAAAAATTCAGCGTGACGGCAGCTTGATTCTGGGGATAAAAATCTATCTTAGAAAGCAGGTGGATACTTGACTCTAGGATTCCGTTACCGATTTTCGAGCCTGTGAACACAGCGTGTAAGATAAATGCTCGCGTTAAGGCGAGAGCCCCCAGCCCAGCGGGTCACGCGAAATCCACAGCACGCGGCTATCGCCTGACGCTGAACCCAAGCCGCCTCACAAATCCGGCTACGTTTTCACTTCGACTTTGCTGGAGACTTTTCTACTGTGATGTAAAGAAAAAAAAAAAAGAAAGCATTAAAACAAAAACAAAAAAAAAATTAAAAATTAAAAAATAAAAAAAAAACAGAACAAAAAGCTGTAGGATAATAGAATTCATTGCAAAGAAATGTATTCGTGTCCAACTTTTTCGAAGGTGCCTTCTTCGTGAAACAGGAGGTAGGGAAGGTTTTATTCTTTGTTTGGTGACGTAATCTTGGCTATTATTAGAATTTCCGTGATGCATACGCAGATCTTTGTTAGCTCCTCTCTGTTCCCCGTGGCCGCGCGAGAGGTAAGTGAGGTTCAAAATCAAAAAAGCAGGGTGCCCGGGTGGCTCAACGGTTGAGCATCTGCCTTTAGCTCAGGCTGTGACCCGAGAGCCCCGAGATCGAGTCTCACGTCAGGCTCCCTGCATGGAGCCTGCTTCTCCCTCTGCCTGTGTCTCTGCCTCTCTTTCTCTCTGTGTCTCTCATGAACAAATAATAAATTTAAAAAAAAAAGACATCACTTACCATAAAATTCCAGTTCCACGATTTTTAGCAAACGTGCAGCTCAGCACAGCCAATCGCAGTCCCAGTCGGGTATCAGGACGTTTCCAGCTACTGCCCATTTGTGGTTGCTCCCCATCCTCACGACCAGGCTCATTTCATTCTTGAGTTGCTCCTTTTAGGCGTTCTCGGGATAGAGACTGTAAGATGTTATCTGAGGCCTTAGCGTGTGGAAGACCGTCGTGATGGCTGCGTGCATGCGTGTGCGTGTGCGTGCGTGTGCGTGCACTTTTAGCGTCTCTCCTGTTGCAGTTAGCGGGGAACCTTGGTCTCCGGAAGGCCTTAGACAGAAACACAGGCTGCAGGCTGAAAAGCTCAGAGAGCGGGAGGCAGTAGAGCTGGGAGCCCAGAATGTGTTGGTCCGAGGATGCTGTCTGGGTGGCCGCTGTACCCCTCCAAGCCGCAGCGGCGGTCCTGGGCACAGAACAAACAGGCTCCTCGTCCTCTTGTCTGCACAGCATCCCTGAGACTTCGGGGGGTTGGGGAAAAGGACGAGGAAGGAGAGAGACTGAGACAGAGAGAGACATGCAAGGGGGGGGGGCAGATTGTGAGCACCACAAGGCAACGCACGGGCACCCGCAGGTGTGCCGTGGAGCACTGCTTGAGCACTGCTTCCTCGCAGCCCCGCTTCGTGCATGCCCCGCTCTGCGTGTGTGAGCCCTGGGCCTCCTGTCCTGCGGGGCGCTCGGTGTCGAGTCCGAGCCCCCCCTCCCATGTCCCCAGCCCACCAACCTGTGTCCTTGTGAACCGCAGGCACGTCCGTCTGGAAGGCGTTCTTCTTCACGCCCAAGTTCAGCCCCGAGGGCGCCAACGGCTGCTTCTCCACGCACGTGTGCTTCTGCCACGGGCACTTCGTCAGCCGCCATCACCCGCCGCTGCTCTTCGATGTTGCCAAGGACCCCGGGGAGAGGAGCCCACTGTCGCCGGCGACCGAGCCCCGGTTCCGCGAGATCCTCGCAGTGATGCAGCAGGCGGCCGACCGCCACGCCGAGACCCTGCAGGCCGTCCCCAATCAGTTGTCGCTGGGCAACGTTCTCTGGAAGCCGTGGCTTCAGATGTGTTGCTCGTCCTCCGGCCTCTCCTGCCAGTGTGACCGGGAAAACCAGGCCAAGGGAGCGAGCCGCTAGCGGTGCAGGCGGGGACACGACGCAGGCCCGGAGCCTGCCTCGCCTCCTGCATTGCACACGTGCACGGGGCGCATGGTGGGGGGGGGCACCGGGCAAAGCCGGCCCTGTGGGCATCTCAGACTGGGAGCCTGTGTCCCTCTTACCGCTCAATGGTCCATCGAGAGCCCCCCGGTGACCCCAGGGGACAAACGACAGGTAAGACACACAGGGTCAAAGCCAGACTTGGGGCTTCCATGGCCCAAATTCGCGGAGGCCTGTAAGGTGATACGAGAGGCTCGGCGGGCACGGGCGGCTCCAGGGCACACGGATCGCAAGGGGCGCCGGGTACCCGTGCACCACTCCGCAGATGCGCCTGAGCCGCGGGCTGACGTGCCATCGTATCAGCGTGTGACGCGGTGCCCGCCGCCACGATCCCCGGCACGCCAGCGGGAGCGCAAACAGCGTTCAATAGCATTCGCTAGATCTTAACGTCTGCAGCTGATGACGAGTAAAGGAGCATGTTCTTCGCCAACGGCAGATGACGCTGCGTCGCGCGTTGGGTGGGAAGGCAGTTCTGGCCGCTGTCGTTGAGGACGCACACGGAAAGCTCGGCCTGAGACGCGCATTCCTGCGAACGCGCTTTAATTCTTCCCTCGAGACGCTGCAGGGATTTAGACCATAAAATAGAAGCTTTCTGCAATTTAGGCAAAAGCAAGCGATTCACCTGTAGTTTTTTTTTTTGTGCAACAGACTCTTTGTGAAATCCTCTACGAACTCCCGAGACCAATCTCCCCCGAACACATTTCCACACATTTCCATCTCAGAACATACTATATTTGGGTTTTCCTGTTTTTTTTTTGGGGGGGGGGCAATGGATGTTGTCAGAGAAAGGCTGCCCCGGGCCCGGGAATGCTGCAGCCTGAGGGATCCCTCCCCACGCGGAGCAGAGAGTGACCTGGTGGGGAGACCCATCACCCGCCCCCCCACATCCTGCAGGATGTGCCGATGGCAGTGCAGCAGCTCGTGGACTTTCGTAGGCCGAGGCCACGGGATACCGCGCCCCACGTCCTCGTCCATGCGTACCGTTTTACGTGTGCTTGTGGCGGCATCAGTAACAGAGGGGTGCAGGGCGGCCAGAGGTCCTGGGGGTGCAGCCCCGGCCCCCGCCCAGGACGCACGGAGCTGAGCAGAGGCTGCTCCTGTCACTCGCCGACACGGCTCAGCGCCCAGCGGCAGCGTCTGGATCCCTTCCTGGGCCCACACGGACGGCCCAGTGCTGCCTCTCCTGCTGCGTGTGTGCACGTCCCCAGCTGGCCTGCTGCTCGCTGGGTTGCAGGACACGGCCGGGCCCGCGTGGCCGCGTGCAGGGAAGGCGCGTGCTCCGGCGTGTCCCCCGCGGGCGACCTCGGGGACCCAGCAGGGCGACTTCACGGCTTCCATCCTTGTTCCCGCTCTCATCAAACCTGCAAGTGCCATTTCTCCACGCCCCCCAGCCCCGGGCACGGCTGCAAGCACACAGAAGCCTCCCTCTCCACGTGCATGTCTCCAGAAATCGCGCAGGGCGCGTCCTGTGGCTTCAGGAGCCCCGGGAGAGCGAGCCGGCGAGCCCATCCCGGGTGAGGCCGCTGCCTCTCCTGCTACGCGGGAACCATCGCAAACCACTCTTACAACCTGGGGGTTGAAGCGGATCGTGTTCGCTCGACGTTTAACGCACTCAATGCGGCTGGACTTTCGGACAACGCGGCAGGGTGGGGAGCGTGTGCTGGGGGACTAAGTAAACGGAAGCGCTTTTACACGTCACACGGATGTATATTTATATCGACAGTCGTTCAGCGTGTACAATGTCAGCTGCAAACGAAGGACACAGATACCTCTAGAAATAAAATCAGCTTTAAAATATTTGCCTCTGGGGGCGCCTGTGGGGCTCACTCAGTAGAGCATCTGCCTTCGGCTCAGGTCATGACCCCGGGGTCCTGGGATCGAGTCCCGCATCGGGCTCGCTCCTCAAGCGGGGAACCTGCTTCTCCCTCTGCGTCTGCCCCTCGCCCCGCTCGTGCGCGCTGTCCCTCTCACGTACATAAATAAAATCTTAAAAAGTATATTTGCCTCCAAAGAACTGAGATGACTGTTTTGAATCAGGGTATTTGGAAATCAGGTTTATTCGTAATAAGCAAAACTCATAGGTCTTCTGAAAGTTTCGCCTGGGACGCACAGCAGGAAATTTGAGTTCTTTTGTTCAGAAGACGCGCAGCCAACCTTCTTCATGACCCAGTTGGCTTAGCGATGTTGTATTTCTGCAAAGCTGTGCCAGGCTGCTTGTTTTCAAAACGTCTCACGGGTGCTACCTCCTGGGTTACACGTCCAAACTTTAGTACGTTGTGAAGCTTTGAACAAATTCTTTTAAAAGGAAGCCTGTGGAGTCGCAGCATGTGACAAGCCAAGCAAACGGGCGCGTGTGCACAGGCATCATTTTCCGGGGTTGGTAACGCGGCGTGGGAAAGCAGAACCGCGGCCCACATCGTCCCGGATTCAAGGAAGGGGAGCAGACGTCAGATCGCCGTGGGACGTACAGACAAGGGTGGGGAAGAGATGCAGGGAAGGTACCTGGTCCACGTCTGCAAAACGCTGTCTGCAACGTGACGCCCCGATACGGGTTTGTCAAAACCTTGTTCTAAAGTCCACGCAAAGCTAAAATAAAACTTGCACTGGCGACAAAACGTGTGCTGGTGCTTTGTGCTTTGCCGAGTGACTCATTTCAGCAACTCATTTGCCGAGTGACTCATTTCAGCAATGCTCTCAGTGTCGTGTTGGGACCGTGAGATGCTCAGGGCTGCTCACAAAGGTCCCTGCATGTCACCTCTTCTTGTGGAGGGTTTGCTGTGCTTTGACAGGAGGGCTACAGGGTTCAGTCTGGCAAATACCGATTACATCCCTAAGCGTCAGGCGGGCTTTGGAAACAAGGTTTAAATTTTGTGGGTTTTTAAGATTTTATTTATTTACTCAATGAGAGACACAGAGAGAGGCTCCATGCAGGGAGCCCGACGTGGGACTCGATCCCGGGTCTCCAGGATCACGCCCTGGGCCGAAGGCGGCATTAAACCGCTGAGCCACCCGGGCTGCCCAAAGTCTAAATTTCGAAACGGAAAACGTCGACCTCTCTGGTCTGGTCTTGAGGCTGGATTCCTTTGCAAAACCCAAGCAGAGTCAGAGTAAACCCGAGCCGCGGAAGCAAGGTCGAGGGAGAGGTGCAGGAACAGTGGGCGCTAGGGGGGCGCACATGTGACCCAACGCCTCTGCACAAACCCTACAGTAGGTGCTGAGGGCGAGGTCCGTGTGCACCGACCCCCCCCCTTGTCCCCCCAGCGGCCCTGGAACCACGAACTCCTGTCCTGCCAGCACCGCCTCCAATGCACCATCACGTAATCCCATAGGCGCTTTGTTTCACAGGCTCTCAGTAAAGCAGTCGTCCTATTTGCCAATATTTAACAGCAACAAATAGTATGTCAGAGGAGCCTTTTCTTCTTTTTTTTTTAATCTTTAAATTTTTTTTTATTTTTGTTTACTTATGATAGTCACAGAGAGAGAAAGAGAGAGAGAGAGAGAGGCGCAGAGACACAGGCAGAGGGAGAAGCAGGCTCCACGCACCGGGAGCCCGACGTGGGATTCGATCCCTGGTCTCCAGGATCGCGCCCTGGGCCAAAGGCAGGCGCCAAACCGCTGCGCCACCCAGGGATCCCAGAGGAGCCTTTTCAATTAGGGAAATGTCAGCTTCTCCTCATTAGGATCCTAGAATAGGGGATCTGCCTCTCTGCCTCTCTCTCTCTCTCTATCATAAATAAATAAATAAATAAATAAATAAATAAATAAATAAATAAATAAATAAAAGGATCCTAGAACAGGTGTTAGGTATTCCTTGAAACGTACCTGTTCACGCAGAGGAAACATTGTGCACAGGGCGATGGATCCATCCTTTTTTTTTTTTTTTTTTTTTTTTTTTTTTAAGAAGAAAACCACACTGGAGACCCTCAGATGTTTCTCCTAAAAGTGCTTCTACTCATGAGGTTCAAGTGTTCTGAATGGCTTTGCAGGGTCGCTCTGTGTATGTTACTCGGCAAACACATCACATCTTCATAGAGGCGGATTGCACAAGGCCTAGATATGCTTTACCCAGTAAGCAAACTGTTGCTGTCATATTAAATTCTAGGATATAAAATTGGCCTCACTGTGGCACCCGGGTAGCTCAGTGGTTGAGCGTCCACCTTTGGCTCAGGACGTGATCCTGGAGTCCCGGAATCGAGTCCCACATCGGGCTCCCTGCAGGGAGCCTCCTTCTCCCTCTGCCTGTGTCTCTGCCTCTCTCTCTCTCTCTGTGTGTGTGTGTGTGTGTCTCATGAATAAATAAGTAAAATCTTTAAAAATAAAATTAAATGAATGAATGAATGAATGAATGAATAAATAAATAAATAAATAAATAAATAAATAAATAAATAAATTCTTCCAAAAATAAAACTTGGCCTCATCAATCACGTGAGAGTCTCGGGTTACAAACTATATTGTCTACGGTGGTGTTTTTCTGAAGGCAAAAAGGTCCAGTGAATGTATTTTTATGACTATACATTTTGAGTTGACTATCAAACCACATACTGTCTGGATTTAATTACGGGGTCAACATTTACGTAAAGTGGCGTATTTACAAAGGTATGGCGTGCTCCCTCGTGGGCAGGGTCTCTTTGAGGCCCAAACTTTCTCCTGGAGCAAATGGAGGGTTTTTCATGAATGCGTACCAGGCAGGGAGACATTTCCCACTGTTCTCATTGTCGTGTTGGGACTGTGAGATGCTCAGGGCTGCTCACAAAGGTCCCTGCACGTCACCTCTTCTTGTGGATGCCGAATGCAGAACATGCAGGTAAGGAGGACTCACAGAAGACCCTGAGGAATGAGAATGGGGTCGGTTACAAAAGCCTGGACCCCTGAGCCACGCACATCACCACCTGGGAGCAGCCACGGAAGGCTGTGTGGCCGCCC